TAATCGTTTCACCTTTCTCACACATTTCCTCAACCCCCCTCCCATCTGGCAACCAACAAAATGTTCTCTATATCTATGAGAACGTTTCAGTTTGTTCATTTTATTTGTAGAATCAATTGTTGATAGATATGTATTTATTGCTATTTTGTTTGTTCATATTTTTGATCTTTTTCTTCAAGAAGACCCTTTAACATTTCATATAATAATGGTTTGGTGGTGATGAACTCCTTTAGCTTTTTCTTGCCTGGGAAACTCTTTATATGTCCATCGATTCTAAGTGATAATTGTAGGATAGTGTAATCTTGGTTGTAGGTTCTTGCTTTTCATCACTCTGAATATTTCTTGCCACTCCCTTCTGGCCTGCAGTTTCTTTTGAGAAATCAGCTGACAGTCTTATGGGAACTCCCTTGTAGGTAACTAACTGCTTTTCTCTTGCTGCTTTTAAGATTCTCTTTTTGGCCCTGGCCGGTTTGGCTCAGCGGTTAGAGCGTCTGCCTGCGGTCCTGAGAGACCCGGGTTCGGTTCCCGCTAAGGGCGCATACCTCGGTTGCAGTTTGTCCCCAGCCCTGGTCGGCTGTGCAGGTGGCAGCCACTCGATGTGTTCCTTTCACATCGATGTTTCTCTCTCTCTCTCTGTTCCTCTCTCTCCCTCCCACTCTACCTGAATAAAAAATGGAAAAATGTCCTCGGGTGAGGATAAAAAAAAAAAAAAGATTCTCTTTTTGTCTTTAACCTTTTGCATTTCGATTATGATGTGTCTTGGTGTGGGCCTCTTTGGGTTCAACTTGTTCAGGACTCTCTGTGCTTCCTGGACTTGTATGCCTGTTTCCTACACCAGTTAGGGAAGTTTTATGTCATCATTGTTTCAAATAGGTTTTCCATTTCTTGTTCTCTCTCTTCTCCTTCTGGCGCTCGCATGATGCGAATGTTGGCACGCTTGAAGTTGTCCCAGAGGCTCCTTATACTATCCTCATTTTTTTGGATTTTTTTTTTTTCTTTTCGCTGTTCTGATTAGGTGTTTTTTGTTTCCTTATATTTCAAATTGATGGTTTGCTTCTTGGCTTTATCTACTCTACTATTGAATCTGTGTAAATTATTCTTTATTTTAATTACTGCCTCTTTCATTTCTGACTGGTCCTTTTTTACACTCTTGAGGCCCTCACTAAGATCCTTGAAGTTCTCACTAAGTTCATTGAGCATCCTTATGAGCAGTGTTTTGAACTCTGCATCTGTTACATTGCTTATCTCCATTTTGCTTAGTTCTTTTCCTGGGGTTTTGTTCTGTTCTTTCATTTGGGACATGTTTCTTTGTCTCCTCATTTTGGTTGCCTCCCTGTGTTTGTTTCTATGTATTAGATAGAGTTGCTATGTCTCCTGGGCTTCCTAGGGTGGCCTATTGTAGTAGATGTCCTGTCGGGTCCAGTGGCACAGCCTCCCTGGTCTCCCAGCTGGGCCCTCGAGGTGCACCCCTCATGTGGACTTTACACCCTTCTGTTGTAATTGAGTCTTGTTTGCTGTTGGCACATCAATGAGAGGGATTTACTCAGGCTGATCAGCTGCAAGGACTAGCTGTGCCCACTATCCACTGACCTCTGACTACTTTGGATGATCAACTGTGCAGGGGCCCACTACACAGAGCAAGACTTATTTCAGCAGGGTGCTGGTATCCACTGAATCTATTCCTTGAGTGTGTCACTTGTGGAGGTGAATGGGTAGTGGTGCTTTGACGTGGTCTGAAGTTGTTCACTGGGTGTGCTGGCTCTGGGGCAAGGTCAACCACTGCCTTTGTTCTACCTGAGGCCACCAGGCATAAGCTACAAAGCTGTCTGCAGATGGCTGCTTCTTGTGCTGGGCTTAGAGGTGCCCAGGCAAAGCCAAGTTGTGAACCAAGGCTGGCTGCTTCTAGTGCCAGGCCTGGGGCCACTTAATGAGAGGTATGGGGCTCACTGAGACCAGATGCTGCTTGTTTGAGAGAATTTAGGAAAATCTGAAGCAGGATCCAAGACAGGCCAATCCTATGGTAAAGCAACTGGTAACAGCTTGGGTGGGCCTGAAAGTTGAGTGAGGCAGGGCCTCAGGGAATCACCAGAGTGGGGTAAATAGTGTGAACCAGGTTGCTGGAGTCCCAGATATGGCAGCTGTCTGCCTGCCCTGTAGGGGGAAGGGCTTACCAAATGAACAAAGGCCTCTGATAGCACGTCTGTCTAGGAGAAAAGCACCTCTCCAGCCCTCGCTCCAATGCCAAACAACTCAGTTCTTCCCCATATGTCTCTGGTCCCTTTCAAATTGCCTTCCCCACGCTGGAGCTCAGAGGGAGCAAGTCAGAGTATGTCTGTGCATGGGCCCTTTAAGAGGAGCTTCCTGGGGCTACAGCAGCCTCAGCCAGTTCTCTTTACTTGATGTGTATGAGTGAAAAACTTTCAGGTCCAGTGAACAGAAGTCTGATGAACCATAAAAACAGAGCTCTAGTCACAGCCTTTCAATAAATTCTCAGACTAAGTCAGTTTACAGATGCAGAACCCCTTGAATACAGGGGCATCTGGGTCATCTTAAGGAATGACCCCATTATGCAGCCAAAATTTTATACTGTTAGTTTTTCTTCTAGCCATTCTCAAAGAAACCTGTGGCCATTTGCCAGGGTGACTGTGCATTGAGGAAAGGGAACTAATCAGATTTTGGGAGGATTACTGGATACTGGTTCTGAACTAATTCCAGGAGACCCAAAACATCACTGTAATGCACCAGTCAATAGGAGCTTATGGAGATCAGGTAATCAGTGGAGTTGTAGCTCAGGTCCATCAGTGGATCCCTGAATCTACCCTGTGGCCATTTCTCCAGTTTCATAATACATAATTGGAAGAGACATACTTAGCAACTGGTAGAATCCCACATTTATTGATTGATTGATTTGCTAAGTCATTTACTATTCATCAGTTTACCTTCCTACTTAAAAATTATATTGCCATTACCTCTTCCCTTTTGTTTACCCTGTCTTTGTATGTCTATGACTAAACTTCTTTGTTGTTTTAGTAGAGTTCTAGTAGGGAATAAGTATGGTACATATATGTTCAGTTCCATCTTTACCCACACACTGTATCTGTATTCTTTTGCTGATGTTATACAGTCCAATGGCTTTGAAGACCATCCATTACTTGGTGATCCTTAGTTTATTTTTTAAGCCCTACTTCTCTTTCCTCTGAGTTCTAGACATGCATTTAAAACTGCTTACTGAAATTTTTCTCCTAATATATCAAATATGCACATCTCATATGTTTAATTCCTGGCCCTTTCCTTGAAATGCCTGTTTCTTATCCAATCTTTTTGTTCTCAGTTAATACCACTACTGGCCCCTACATGTCAATTCAAAATCCCCTTCTCTCCTACATGAAACATCAAGTCTTTATCAGTTATAGATTCAAAATATATCTAGAATGCATCCATTTCTCTACATCTTTATGGCTGCTATCCTGATCCAAGTCCTTTTCATTTCTCACCTGGGTCCATGCAGTAGCCTCCCAGCTGCTGCCTACTTCCATTCTTGCCCTGCTACACAGTAACCAGAGTGAAAAACTTCCAAATTAAGCCACGTACCTTCTCTGATTCAAAGCCCTCAGTGCTGTCCCCCGACACTTTGAATGGTGTCCACATTCTTGATTCTGCCCACAAGACCCCTGCATAACTCTGACTCCGCCTCTTGCCAGTGATCTTCCTTGATCCTTTTGCTCTGGTCACCACAGGCCTTTTTGTTCATCAAACACACCAAAGTTTGTTTCCTCCTTTAGGGCCTTTGCAGTTGACATTTTGTCTCCACGAATATTCTTGCCCCATATTTTCACATGACTCACCCCTCACGTCATTCAAGTCTGCTCGAATAGTGTCAGCTCCAGGAAGCCTTCCCTGACCATCCTTTCTCCTTTTCTCCGATTCCCCATTACTCTCTATGACATCTTGTTTTCTTCTGAAAGTGTCTTGTTTTTTAAATTTATTATCTTTCTCTAGCCATTTGAGTATAAGTCCTATGAGGGCATTGGTCTGGATCTGTTTTCTTTGCTGGTATGATCACACCTAGAGCAGAATTTGGCCCATAGTAGATAGATCTCAAAGACTGTTGGATGGGTGGGTAGAAAGGTGGGTGAATAAATGCCTGTTGAGTTCTGTGCTGATGATTAGCATGTTGGTTCTTCTGGGACATCTCAGAATTGAGCCTTTATACAGAATTCTTTCCCACTTTGATTCTACCTAAGAATGCCTTTATGTGTCCCCCTCTCTTCCTGCCATTAAATCTGTTTTAAGGCTGAAAATTTGAATTCCCAAATAGCATATTGCTGGTTCTCTTTTCTGCCTTTCATCCAGAAGTCATACCTTAAGCCATACTTTGTGCAGGATAGACAAGACTTTGGTAGAGGGCCACCCAGTGCACTTTCTCATCCCTCAAACCTGACTGAGTATGGTGTTAGATTACAAACGAGATTGAACTGGAAGTTGAGTCCATGATGGCTTCACCTCTCAATATTGAGAGTCTTGTTTTGCTTTTCTATTTTTTTAATTATATTATTTTTGTTACAGATGTTTCTCCTTTCCCTCCACCGATTCCCCCCTTCCTCTCCCTCCCCATCCTGTCCCCACCTTTGTTGTCCATGTCCATTGTTCATTGCTTTTCTATTCACCCTAATCTATATTTTAATTTTTAACATCATTCTCTGCCAGCCACTGATCTTAAAACTGAAGGTGAGATTGAGGCAGTGGCAGGGGTGTGTCAGTAAGTTTCATTTCATCATCTTCAGAAAGAAGTTGAGAGATTGCAATATGTGAAGGTTCCTTTGTGTACTCATCAGCTATAAACATGATACCTTTCAGTCCACCCATCCTTGAATCATATGGTACTTAAGTCTTTACGAGTCCAGTTATGTTCCTTTTTAATATCTGATGAAGTAAGGATGAACCAAGGAAATGACCCCTTTGCTTTTTTATTTCTCTTTTCTCTGTTTTATAAAACTCAGGAGGTTCATCAAGAGCGGATTGCATTGGAAAACCAATTGGAACAACTTCGTCCAGTCACCGTGTTGTGACCCCAAGACCCAAGTAATAGTTGGTGACCTTTTCTGCCAAGAGCTCCCTTCGACTGTTTCAATCCAACTACTTGTCATAAATATCTGACTGTCAAAAGCTGTAAGCAGCAGAATAGAATCCATGTTATCTTTTCTCTTGTGTGTTTTACTGTGATGGAAAAATACAACTGATTATCACACTTGAAATTGTAATTATCAGTGGAACTTCTCTCCCATTCTTCACTTCCTTGAGGTGTTAGATATTGCTCCTTACCAAAAATTAGTCTTCTAGCAAATAACAATTTAGAGCATTATTTATTTAAAGAATTTATGATTTGTACAAAACCTTATAACCCAGTACCTTCAGGATGCTTGTTTTATTTTTGTGTGTATATCATGTACAGTGGGTTGGTTTCCTGAATAATTGGAATTCTAACTGTATAGTCTTTGGCATGATGATAATAAAAACAAAAACTAAAATAAAACAAAAGCATCAGATTTAGAATGGCTCTGTGCCCTCTACCACCATATGCCAAAAAAATGCTTCTTTAGTGCCATTTTGATATTATATCTAGCTATAAATAATACATGACTATTGTTTTCTACTGAATGTCAAAGACTGACTGGGTCTTTACACCTCTGTAAAGTGGAATTTTTGTTAGTGATCTATTTAACTTGGCCCAGCTAGGCCTTCAACTCAGATAACTCAGTCCTTTCATGTAAATTTTAGGTCAAGAGCAATGTGCTTTAACTGCCTCACCTGATCAAATTAAATAAATAGTTGCCAGATTTCTTACTTTTATCCTGCATGGGATAACATATCTGTAAATGCATGAATTTGGAAACTACTCATCAAAGATGAAAGGCCGATGAGACTGGATTAACATTTGTTGTTTGAACCCAGGTATTCAAACTGGGGAAGAAGAGGGAAAATGGTTGTTACTAACCATTCGACAATTTCTGGTAATTATTTTTGTCTTTGTTATTGTAACCTGGATTGTGAGTGTATTGGGTATGAAGACATAATGAAAGAAAACCAATTCTGACACCGGATATATAACTATTTGGTTCTATGTGAAGTGTATCCTTGAGAAGTGATTGGTTTATGTGCAGTCCAGAGGGGCCCAATTGACTCCAGTGTAAGTGAGATAATACAGTGAATTCAAATCGCAGAAGCTAGTGTCCTACAGAAATTCTGATAGCTGCTGCTTCACCTGAAAGCTCAAGTTGAAAATGGGAATTGACTAACCCTCACAGGGATCAGGGCACACCAGCTTTAATATCAATTTGAGAGATTGATGGAAAGAAATGCTGTCTCTTACGCATTTTGCTACTTTATCCATTTTTAGGATAGAGGAGTGGGGTGTGCCTAGGGTCCCTTTTGAAGTGGTTTGGATAGGTTTGTAGCATGTGAGATTGTCTTTGATTTTAATAGTATGGACAGCTTTTAGAAAAGTTGGCGTTTATTTAATGCTTCCTTATTCCATTGTCAAGCTTTATCAATAGCTTAATGGCAGAAGAGAAAGGCTCAAACAGATGATGTTTTTCCAAAGAAAAACAAATTGTTGGTTCTGTTCTGTGCATATTAAAGGCTTTCGAATTGGTTTGATTTTAAAAATCAGAAATCTTGAACTCTTTATCTATTCATACCCTTTTCTTTCCCCCTTTGACTGCTTTTTCCATCCCTGTAAGAATGGTTCAGAATTAGTTTCAACCCTTCCTAAGGTCATGAATGAGTCAGTGCAAAGTTAACCTCTTTTCCCATGTTCTGAGATCTGGGGGCTGCAACAAATTTAATCAACAGTGTCCTTGTCACAGACATATCACAGCATGTTTGCCTTTTGTTACATTCAATGTAGGAAAGAACAGCGTATGCACTTTATCCCATAATCTTCCAGTACATATACACTCACTCGAGATAGCACTTCATATCCATTAAGCAGACATATAAACTAAGGAATGTTACTCTATATTATGTATTTTTAAGATGTTGACATCCCCCCCCCCCCCAGCAAGCCAATGCCAGAGTGAGCCAAATTAGGTTGGGGTTTTGTTTAGTTTGGTTTTCATTAAAGGAAAAAAACTTGCATTGGACAATCAAAGCTCCATGAGTTGCATAGTTTCACCAATATTTTAAGATAAACATTGCATTAAAGCACATACCAATAATATCTATACTAAGTCTTGACTGGACTTTTAGTGACCACAGTTTATTAGTTGTTTAGAAGTGGATTTTTAAAAAATAATTAAACACAAACACATAGACGTACATATACTTACACACATTATTATTACCTAACTAGTGCTCATTCTCTCTTTCTCTGTTTTCTTAGGATGTATACTTTCAGTTTAGGATTATAACTCCTGATAATGTTTCTGTGAGCCTTTAAATGTGGTTTATAGGAAAGCTGGGCTATTGAAATCACCATTATATCTCTTCTATAAAACTACTCTAAAATTAGACCTGCTTGTTGGGCAGAGTTCTGTGGACAGAGGCCAATGTCGCCCCCATACATGGGGATTTAATAACCTTGTTGTTAAGTGGTCTTCTTCCATAGGGGTTCTGTAGTCCCATGGATGAAAGTACAGTAGAAGCTGATAGTGGGCTTATTAGATACCTCAATGTCTTGTATGTGGCATATTGCTTTTGCCACCTCTCTATCCAGTAGACATGGAGCAAAACCAAAATGTAGATTTTTGGAATGGAGGTACATGTTGTCATCAAGGCAGATATTTGCTTTAGTTGGGAGGATTTAACTGCTTTATTATTATTAGAGAAGTGCTTTTGGCCTGATTGGGAGAAGAGGCAGCTTAACTGAAAGCTGTGCCCATTTTACTGTCATTGGAGACTAGGATGCCTGACCTGAGAGGCTAGGATACCTGTACCCATCTCTTGCTGTTTGCTAATGGGGAAACCGAGGCCCTGGGAAACCACAGTTCCTAGCCCAAGGATCCATAGAAAGAAGTAAGTAGTGGCAGAGTTGGGATGCCAGCCTGATTTTATGGATTCTAAGTTAACTTTTCGAGCCTCTAGCAATATTAAAAACAGATTAGAAGGGTTTCTTCTAGTTACCTTGTTGGATTTTATTTACTTAATTAATCAGTCTTAAAATATGCAAACATATTTTAATGAACATTAGAGCTAAATATTTCTCATGGATGAAAGCAAAAAATAAAAAATCTGAAGCGAAAGAATATGATTAACTATTTGTTCTTTCAAACACCTCACCTTTCATGATGCAATAAGTTACTCTGAGTTTCTTGGCAGAACTTTTGAGGGCTATTGCTTTGAATGGATTCCATTCCTGTATTCCTTATGGGAGTTTGTTTTTAAAATAGACTAGAAATGAACTCAATATGTAGTAAGTTAGTTTTCTTCAATATATCTTTGGTTACTTGGGTTGCAAATGTTCAATTTCAGCATACTTTAGGGTGAGTAATCAAAAACACGAGTTTTCCTTTGATTTCCTACCAATGTCTGAACTCTATCATGAAGCATCCTTCTCTTCATATGTGACTTGATTCTATAGTCTGTTTCTACATGATATTGTCTATTTCTTAAATGATCTCACCCTCACGGTAATAATAGATGTGTATTCAGAATATCAGTAAGAAAATAATCTGCAACGAAAATAATCTGCAACGGATGTGTTTTTTACAGTTAAGGCAAGCTTTTGCAAGTGTCTTCTAAGCAGTAGTTTGAAATATCTCAATTGTAGTATAACACCTTAGAGCTAAAAACATTTGTCCAACACAAACTAGAATCACCCTCCTGGCTAGATACCACCAAGGGAAATGTGATTTTAAACATATATAAAAAAGAATTTCAAATATCTTAGCAACCAGATCTTTCCATGTTGACCAGTAGGATTCAATAAGTTGTAGCTTGCAAGTTAGGAATATGTGAACAAAATGAAATCTCAGTTGAGAACCTTTTTCTCTCTAGTTAAATAGAACACTAGTAACTTGGGTTTCTCTTTCCAACTGGTTTATTCTGTTTTAAGTGTATACTTTTAAAACTCTGATCAAAGGATCACTTGAATTTACACTAGTTTTTGTGTTCTGTTATGGGTTTTTTGCATCATGAGTCAGTGTAGAACAAAGTAGGGATTTGGGTTTTTGGAGTCCTGAGCTGGCATATCTTGCTTCTTCTTTGGCACAGCTAAGGGAAACTGCCCACCAATGCCAACAGATCAGTCATTAATGGATATTTGAGTGTGAGTTTACTCTGTAACCACCCTGCTTTACTTGTTTGCATTGAGAAATGCATCTAGTTTTGTGACCCTCCCAAGAGCAACTTTAAGAACAGCAGACATGGAGAGCCAGACTGTAAAATCAATACAAGCAGATTCTAAGAGCTGCTTTCCTCCTCAAAAATAGGCTTTCAGAGGCTGCCTTACAAGCATTCCTTGAAACAACCAGTCTGTTAAAGTGAGCAAGACATTCCAGATCGGTAGTTGCTTTAAGGCTTATGTAGTTATTTTCTATGTTGACTAACACAAATGATGTTAAAGGAACCTTTTCTAAAAGGCATTGCAGGGTTTCTATTGAGAGGACTTGTACAAGTTACAGAAGCCTTGCTCTGCTCTGAACAATTGGGGGGGGGTGGTGTATTTTTTGTGTTTTGTGAGTTTTCCTATCTCTCTCTAAGTTAAGTTCATTGCTGTGTGAGGTTGAAGAAAGTGGTTTTATGACTTTGAAGACCAGAGGACATTGGCTTGAATTGAAATTTGGTGACTACAAGAAGGAAAACTTCACGTACCAGTTCCATCCTAAAGCTCCTCCAGGGAGCTCTGCCCTGGGAATGGAACAATTGATGCCATACTTTCATTGCATGATGATTGGATCAAATGAAGTGTGTGTGTGTGTGTGTGTGTGTGTGTGTGTTTCTGTTTTAAGACAACTTGCATGAGGGCTTCAAATGAACCCACCTTGGGAACTGGGTACACCTTTTTCTTTAGCACTACCATTCCGTTTTTCTTTAACACAAATATGTTCAAGTGAGCCACAGGCGGGAAGAGCCATTTTAGTTTTTGTAACAGTGGGTCAGAAGAGATAATGAGCTGATGGTCTATTTTAACCTTGAAAGTAAAAATGTATATTTTTTCATGACAGGTGCATTGAACAGTAAACAAGTAACAGCAAAGTATATATTTGATGTCTTCTCTCTTTTCATGATTATGTGCTAATAAGTTGTGTTAATATTTTATTCAGCCAGAGTCTCATTCATTTGCTAAGCATTAGGAACATTATGTATATTGATCTTAAATATAAATAAATATAGGGTATCGTATATTTGGATTCTGACTTGTAGACTCAAGCTAACCTTTACTGCCTCTTTTTCACACTTGTTGGAAAGTCTATGAAGAACATAATAGGTTAAAAGTCTCCAGCTTTGGAAAATGTACATGATGTGAAACTGGAGTGTTATGTTAAAAATAAATGTCTTGGTGTCTATTTGTGGTCTGCATTTGGTCTTGTGCATTTAATGCAAGTAACATGAAAAGGAGTTGAAGGTCTTCCCAATTAAATCAAAGTCTCAGATTTGGGTATTTTCACCTTCCAGTGATCTGAGCTAGTTCCTTAAATATCTGTACACAGTAAACACAAGGCAATCATGGGAAATCATGGCTAATTCACAGTGCATTTTAAAGATCCCACTGAAGTAAAAACTTGGCTTAATATGGTGTCAGATTATTTGCTTCATCTTGTCAGTGTTCTTTTTAAAAATGTTTTATTGAATTTACTGGTGTGACATTGGTTAATAAAATTATTTAGGTCTCAGGTTTACAAGTCTATAATACATCATCTGTATATTGTATGGTGTGTTCACTACCTGAAGTCAAGTCTCCTTTCATCACCACTTATCCCCCCTTTACCCTCTTCTACCTCGCCACACCCCCATTTCCCTCTGGTAATCACAATGCTGTTGTCTCTGTCTATGAGGTTTTTTTTCCCCTTTTTGCTTAATCCCTTCAAAAATGCTCCCATCATGTCCTTAGCTGGAGTGGAGGTGAAGGAGAGGGATCAGGAAGAATTGGCTTGAAATTTTTGACCAAGTAATTTGGTATCCTAGTTGCAGTTTCTTACATTTAAAATTTGAATAATTTTAGGAGGCACTATCCTATCAGATGGGGGTTTTATTCAGGATGGTGAATGCCAATGGTGGGCCAACATAGGGTATTTCCAATCTAGTACCAAATGCCAAACTAACTCTGGAAAAATCATCCATGATTTGGCTCATAAACTTGACATTGGAGATCACCCGGCTTTGACATTTCCCAAGCACTGGTAAGGATCAGTAAGTCACTCACTTTAGAGATAAAAGAGATCTGAGATTATCTAGGCAAGTGTTTCCCAAATTAGCAGCATCAGCATCATCAGGGAATTTACTAGAAACGCAAATTCTTGGAACCCACCCCAACTGAATCTGGAACTCTGGGAGTGGGCCTGGTGATCTTGGTGTAAACAGGTCCTCCAGGTGATACTGATGCTCGCTCATTCAAGTTGAACTGATGGAGCTAACCTCATTTTACAGTAAACTGTGGTGCAGAGAGGCTAAACTGACTCATTAGGGTCTCAGCGAATTCAAGGAAAAGGATAAAATTGTTCCCGGGGTAGACTTTTTTTCTATGCTTCAGAGTTCATTCATGAGTTGTTCCCTTTCCTGACTTTCCTTCCACAGATATTTACTATGCCCCTACTGTGTGTATCAAGTGCTATGACAGGAGCTAGAGATGAGACCTCCAAGACAGAATCTCTTCCTTCAAGGAGCTCACAGAAGCCTACAAATGAGTTTTAAACAGCATGGGACAGGTGATAGGATATATTAGTCAGGGTCAGCTAAGTACTATAACAAAGAACCCCAGTGAGTGGCTTCACATAGTGCAAGTTGATTTCTCACTCACCTTACAGTCCAGAGTGGGTGTTTATAATTTTGCCATTTTCTTTGTGATTGTGGAGGGACCCAGACTCCTTCCATATATGCCTCCATTTTCCTCTAGGGCTAGAGAGTTTTCTCCTTTTGGCTGGTGTATGGGGAGAAAAGAAAGGCTGGAGAGAATACATCACTTCTTTGCATATTTTATTTCTGGAACTCAGTCATATGACAGCAGTTAACTTTAAGGAAGACTGGGATATGTAGTCTAGCTGTGAACTCTGGAGGAAAAAGTTGTGAGCATAGAGTCTGCCAGAAAACTTAAGGCCAGGGTTCTGAGAACACACAGGAGGGGCATCTAATTCAGACTGGGGATCCAGGAAGACTTCAGAGAAGAATCTTAAAAGAGCGAATAGGCATTAACTAAGAAGAGGAGGGTGTTTCAGGCAGAGGGGGCTGTGTGTGCTAAGGCAAGGCAGGGTAAGAGTGTGATATGCCCTGGAAACTACTAAAGGTTCTCCTGTGGATGGAATGGGTTGATGTGGAGTGTAGAGTGGGGGTAAATGACAAGAGTTGCACACAAGGCCAGATTGAAAGGCCTTACATATCACGAGAAGGCATAAAGCACCCTGAGATTACAGCTCCTTTTGAGATTTAAGCACAAATTAATGAAGTCACTTACTTCATTTATCTTCAAGGAGTTGTTTCACTTAGTCACAGAACCTATTGACGATGTTAAGTGAGGACTTACTGTATTCTCTAGCATCATAAGCAAAAGCAACATCAGAAGAGAAATTCTGCATGTGTATATATATATATATAATGTCTATATGTGTCTACACGTTTATAAAAGATTTGTCTTTTGCTGGTGTTGCTTATGTTATAAACATGTAGGGTGGGGCAAAAGTAGGTTTACAGTGTGTATGGAAAATCATACCATAATTAGTAAATAGTAATACTAGAGTAAACTGTGTTTTGTGTACTCACAACTGTAATAAACCTACTTTTGCCACACCCTGTACATCTAAAACTATATATATATTTAAAACAATAGCCAGAGTAATTGTTTAGAACATAAATCAACAAAATATTTTGTTGGGAGGGAGGAGCATTTTATCATGGGCCGATGTCTAAACAATTTTAGAATTGCTGGTGTATGGTGGTAATAAGAACAGACTGACTTTTAGTCATTTTTATTGTTTTTAAATTTTTCTACAGAGAATGTACCTCTTATTCTTGTGCTTGGGGTGGACGACTCCCATCCTCTGTATAGATCAGTGCTTCCACCCCTGTATTACACTTAATCAAAGCTATAAGGCTGAAGGAAAGCCAAGGGGAAGAAAGATAATGTTTGGGGAATTAAATTAAATACAGATACAGGGAATTGTGAAGCAGAGCCTTTGAAATGCAAATGAAATTGGCCTGAACCTCAACCCATGTGCAATGAGAGCCTGCATCTCAATCTTTCTGAGAGGCAGAAGTAATGGTGGAAGAACTGATGTGTTTATCCTAGTCACTTCTGGCTCTGGTATGCTTCCTAGGAATTAGTTTGATAAATGGACCATCTGTTTCCCCCTCCAACATCATTTACAGGAGTTGTTCATGTGTATGTGTATGGAGGATGGAGTGGAATGGGAAAGGGGCAGAATACACAGAATACTCTGGATGAGGGAGCTTGTAAATAGTTTATCTCCAGGGCCACCACATTGCACAACTCCAGGGGACATCATTCACGTAGTCTATGCAAAAGATGCCTCTTGCAGTTTGTGATGCCTCTGTCCTGTTTGCAGCTCCATGCTGCACAGTCCCCTCTTTCTCTCTCAAAGTGCTCCTCCTTTCCCTCTTTATCGATCTGTTGTTCTGCTTCTGCTGGCTGAGGGAAAGGGAACAGGTGGGAGCCTATGGAATCCTGCTAGTATTTGTAACCCAGTGCCCATAACCCCACTGCAGACCTCTTTTCTACCCTTCCTGTTTCTACTCTAGGTCTAGGCTAGTAGTTCTAATTTTGCCCCTGCCCCCAGGGACTATTTGGGAATATCTACAAATATTTTAGTTGTATAACTTGGAGGGGCCTCTAGTGGGTAGAGGCCAGGGATGCTGCTAAACATCCTACAGTGCATGGGACAGTGCCCTCCAAAAAGAATGATCCTACCCCAAATATCAATATGTAGTGTTGAGGTGGAAATGGTGTCCCTCCATTTCCTTCAATTATTCAGAACAATGCAGCCTTCTCCTCACCACACCCCTTCACAGGGTCAAAGCCACATCAATAGGCTCTGCTAAATTAGCCCATTAATTCAAATATTTTCAGGGTCCATCTAGACAGTGTTGCTCAGTGGTTGAGTGTCAACCCATGTACCAAGAGGTCGCTGGTTCAATTCCCAATCAGGGCACATGCCCAGGTTGTGGGCCTGATCCTCAGTTGGGTGCATGTGGGAGGTGGCCAATTGATGTTCTCTCTCATTGATGTTTATATCTCTCTCTCCCTAAAAAATCAATAAAGAAAGCAAGTTGTTCAAATATTTTCAGGGTCCAAGCAGCAATGTATATGACTGAAGCCAGTGAGGATTAAGAAAGTGGTACTGGGCCATCTGCCTCAGTGATAGGGAACAACAGGTGGGGACTATGACAAATTGGAGCTTGTACACCCTGTCTACAAAGGCAGCTCTAGATTACTTGCCATACAGGCTCCTGTGTTGCTAGATTTCTGATTTCTTGAGAGAGGCTCAATATCTCATCTCTCTCACCCCAAGAAAGTCCCTTTGGTGTTACTTTTTCATTGAGTAATAACATACATACATGCACCAATTTTAAGGGTTCATCCCAATGAATAGTCAAGATAACCTTGAAGAAGATCAAAATGGTAGTACTTACACAACTAGATTTCAAGACATTATAAAGCCATACGAATTAAGAGTGTGGTATTGTAAATGTTAGAGGAATAGATCATTGTATGGAATAGAGAGCCACTGAACACATCCACTCATATAGGTTCCCTTGATATACAATAAAGATGTCATCATAATTCAGTGGAGGGAAAGATGGTCTTTTCAATAAGTGGTGATGGAACCACTGGATATCCACTGGAAAAAAATGAACTTGGATTCCTACCATGCACAAAAATTAATTCAATCTGAGTCATAGACCTAAATATGAAAGAAAACAATAAACCTGCTAGAAGAGAGCATTGGATAATGTCTTCATGAATTTCATAAAGAGTTTTTAAAACAGGGTATACAAAGCACTAACCATAAAGGAAAAGATTGATAAATTAGATTTTATTAACAACTGCTGTTTATCAAAATTCACAACTAAGAGACTTTTGGCAAGCTTTGGAACAGTAGAACTTATTTGCAATACATCTGTCAAAAGATTCTTGCCTATATATTTATATGTTAGCAACTATTTCCAATTTAAAACACCAAGGAGGAAAAACCACTGTGCAGGCTACCATTGTGCAGGCCAAACAAAACATTTCTGTGAGTCAGCTCAGGCTCATACATTGCCAGTTTGCAATCTCACCTTTAGCAATGTAGACGAGTCATAGAAGCTTTAACATTTCCATATTTTCTCATTCTCTCCTTGCCAGCCTCTGTAAGGGGAAGAAACAATGTAGAGATCTATTTCTCAATAATAGGAATTTTCCCCTGAGGTGGCATAGTGTTTGGTGATAGTGAATTTAGGTTTTATTTTATTTTTTAAAAGTACTTTTTCTTTATTGATTTTAGAAAGAGAGAAAGGGAGAGGGAGAGAGAGAGAAACAATGATGAGAGAGAACATCGATTGGTCACCTCCTACATGCCCCCCACTAGGGATTTGGCCCATAACCTGGGCATATGCCCTGACTGGGAATTGAACTGGCGACCTCTGGGCATGTAGGTTGATCGATGATCAATCACTGAGC